TATATCCCTCATACGATGTGCAAATTTCGTGAAACCAGTTTTTGCAGGTTCCACATTGTATTAAGTCTGTTTCTGGGGGTTCATAAAAAGCTTCGTCGCAAACAGGGCATGTGCCACATATTTTCCTTGCGGAAGTATGACCAATGCTTTTTTTCTTTGGGCCTTTGTTTTTTTTGTTTTCAGTAGAAATTTTTGTTGACTCAGTCTTCAGATTTATCACAGTTTTTTGGAGTTTTTTTGGTACGGTTTTCACGTTCTTTTTTGTTAAGTTCTTTTTCACATTTTGTTTTTTCTTCGTACTCAAGCTATTTGACTGATCAAGAAATTCCTTGTACGGAGTGCTTGTTAAAATCTCTGATTTTTTTGCTTGCAACTTTTCTTTTTTTGTTGGATCTAATTGCCTTTGGCTGTGGATATAATTTTTCCAGTATGCATTCTGAAAAATAAAAGAAATTTATATCATCTTTTGCATATGTTTGATGCTTACCTTCAGTTTTACTCAAATCAGTGGTATTAGTAACATCTTTCAGTTGTTTTTGAGGTGCTTCCAATTCTGGAGGAATATAATATTGATCTTGTATATCATCCTCTTCACGGGAGAAGACACATAGACCACTTGGCCCAGCTTGGGGAGATTCATTTGGAGGTGTTGAAATATTTATTTTGGCGACTGGCTTCGAAGTATTATGAAGGCCACTTGGTCCAGGCTGTGGAGATTCATTGGTTGGAGTTATATTAGTCGCGTTTTCCTCCAATCCTGAAAGAATATCGTTTTAGAAAGATAGAAATCAGTGTTACTGATTTAGTAATTTACCTGTAATTTCCCCTGTAATTTCTATCGTTATTGATTCGCCGTTCTGGTCTGAGGACGCTATCACAGTCGGGGCTAATGGTAGATTATTCATAAGATCTTGCTGTACATCCGCATCCATCACTATTTCAATACGATCGTTTGCTAAAAAATTGTCGGTTACACTGGCAGGAGCAAAATCTATGTCGTTAAAAACTAAAGGATTGTAAGGCCATATTCCCGTCGCTGAAAAACATCTTTCAGCCTTCTCAATTGAGGCGATTCTGGAATATGCTTTTCCAAACAGTGCAGCTACCTGGTATATAGTAATAACTTTGCCCGGATTCATTGTCATCCACCTATCTCCTTCTTGGCTATATGCTGTTTTTAAAGGACCGAAAAACCCAACGTCAAGTGGTTGTAGTCTGTGACTACTATGAGGTGGTAAGCTAAGTAGGTGAATTCCATTTGTTCGGCAAAATGATATAGCTTCTAAGCTTATGTGGGAGGAGTGGTTGTCCAAAATAAGAAGCACCGGAATTTCCGCTAGTCGATCTAACATGGCGGTGAAAGTGTTTCAACCACTTAATAAACAGCTCCGAATTTATGAAGCCGCTATCAGACAACATTAGGATAGTATCTTCCGGTGCTCCATAAAGCAATTCTTGTTTCTCTCTCTTTCTAGGATAAATTAACGCAGGTGGCACATAAAAGCCTCTAGCATTTGAACAACAGACTGCAGTGATAAGTTGACCTCTCTCACCAGATACAACTTTCCCAACACCTCTTTTGCCTTTGACGCTTAAAACTTTTGGAATTTTATTTGGAACTGTCAGCATTCCAGTTTCATCCATATTGAAAATTGTTTTTCCAGTAAATGAATCTAATTCAATAAGCGCTTGAAGATTTTTAAAGAACCTGGATACCTGAACTTTATTAAAGCCCATTGCACGAGCCTGGCTTACTTTTTCTGGTTGCCTGACAGATAAATTATGTTTTTGACAAAATGTTGAAATCCATTTTTGCCCAACAAGTCTGGTTGTTTTATTAAATGGATGGTCAGCTTGAATTTGCTCAGCAAATTGGTACGCGAGTGATCGTAATTCCTTAACGGTCAATCCATAAAAAACTTCATCAAGCTTTTTAATTTTATTAAGTAATTGAAGTTCTTGCGCTGAGTTGAAAACTGGCTTAAATCGGCCTAAGGAAGTTGGAATAGTTCCCAATTTTAATCTTTTCCTCAACGTTGCCTCACTGATACCATACTCCAAGGCTACAGATCGTTTAGACTGGCCACCATTTATTTTTTCTTTGATTTCTTGCATTATTTGCTCCGTAAATTTTAGCTCCCGATTGCTTTTTCGCTTGTAAGGACCCATCTATAGAAAAGAAAATACAATGATTTCTAAGAGTACGCACTCGTACTCTTGGAGCGATCGAAGGTGCGTACTCTTGGATTTTTGAACTCTTATCAAAATATTTATTATCTCTTTTTAATCACTGCAGATAGACTAATGCAGAGTATGACGACAAGACAGACTCCTAGCGTAGCTACCTTCTCGTAAGGCGCAATATAAATATAACCTCAATTTTCCAACCGAAACACAGTTTCGAAATTTATGCAAAGTTATAGTTATACAAGCCAAAACACAAAATATCTCATAAATAACGTATCACTTAACCGATTTCGTTGAAATTTGGAATATACCTTACCTTTTACTAGCCAAATATTAAAACACAAACAGGAGCACTTTCACACCTCTCAGTTGTTAGAAATTACTGATGCGTACTCTTAGATTGCGCGTACTCTTAGGCAACTTTACCCTATGCAAGAGTCTTACGGTCTTGCGTTTCTGTTCAATTTTTTTCTGAAGGGTTCTAAAATTAGGTATGTTTTTGATTTGGTTGTTTGTAGTTGAATATATCATATCTTACTATTAGGCTCTGTTACTGGTATTGGGACCTACCCTACCACAAACACAATTATTATCAAACATATCTAAATTTCTAGTGTAAATCGAATTGTTGTTTAAAAGTGAAAGATTTTTCTGTCCATAAAAAAAAATTACTAACTTCTGCATTATTTTTGCTTTTTGAATGTATAAAGTACTACATACTTCATTACCGCACGCGAATCTGTGATGACAAGTACAGTTACCGGCGTTACCGCACGGCACGCGAGATGACGCGAATAAGTAAAATTGTTACCAAATTTTTCATTTGCGGAGAAATGCATGAAACTTATGTGCTTCTTCATTGAGCAATAATAATTTTGGTTTATTTCCAATCCCAGCTAAGGTAACGTGCCCCCAGTGACTTAGATATAAATTTATGAAATTACATATATTGCTTTTCAGATTTTATTGGCGTAGCATCAATGACAAATACATTGAAAAATGTGTCAAATTTGATTGGTCAGATAGGCCAGAGAATTTTATTACCGCGACGAATACGAAATTATGTGAAAAACACTTAAAACTGCCTGGAATTTGACATATAATGTCATTATTATACGAGGGTCAACCTGCCAAATTTGGAAACAAGATACAAAATTCCAAAATTTCGAAAATTTGTAAATTTAATTCAGAAAACAGTAAATTGTCTCCTGTATCCTTTATTTTCTACCAGGAGTCATACTCGTAATCAGCTTCATCATCCCATGCTTCCAACTTCCAACATTCGTAGTTCTCGTAGTACTTACTATCCATCGTAGCAGTCGTACACCACCTACTTTCTTGATTCTTTCCAAATCAAATGTGTCTAACAAGATTTTCTTAACGCGGATCAATTCTGAAGCTCTATTTTTAGTTGCTTTATCCAATTTCGAAAATGGGGTCTTTCACTAAAATTTGAATACGTAATTTGAGTATAAAATCCCAAAGGAGGGGCTATTTTAGGCATATATACCAAAAAAAAAAGTTCTACAAGGTTAAATAAGTTTTTTACAGGCATTTCAAATTAGCTAAATTCAAATTAAATTAAAACGCGCCGATTTGCTGACGTCACATAAATATTTTTCATTTCGCTTGTTGTTACAAAGGAGCTTACCGCCTCGGCTGTGTACCCTGTAGTAAAAGCAGGTAAAGGTTCGAATGCGCTGTTGTCGGTGGTGACTAGATGTAGTGCAACGTAAAAAAATAAAATAAAACTAAACATAAAAAATTGTATTAAATTGTGTTTAAACATAATTTCAATAAAAAAGTTATAAAATCTTGAATCCATAAGTGATTAATTTAACTACTTTTCATGATATTTTGCGAACATTTCAGAATTAAATCTATTACAAATTTTCAATGTCGACAATTAGTGGCAACACGGTCAAATTGCTTGCTGCGACGTCATAGAAATAAATTCTGGGTTTTTATTTGGAGGTAATTCTTTTTTTTCTGTTTTCTCAAGAAGGACTATGAATTTTTCAAAAGTAAAAATACAGAAAATTCTGTCTTTAGTTGCTTTATCCAAATATGCCAATTTCAAAAATTAGTGAAAGAGCCCATTAGGGAAAGAGCAACAGCAACAATTCTCGTATTTGAATTGCCTGCAAATTCAATCGACAAATATCTAGAATCACGTAAATGCTTGTTAATTTAATCCCGAATCTTCGCGATCAGGTTCATTAACAATGGCTTCTGGGCGCCAATGTACCTAATTTCTTCACAATAAAAATATTATAATTGTAAATTGGAATGATTAACAAAATCTACGATATGAATAGTGGGTATTGAAAGACAAACCTCTTTTCCTATGTGTCTAGAACCACAGCGCACTCCAGAAAACTGAACGAATTCTGTCATAGTAACGCTCTTCAGAAAAGCATACCTACTGTCAAGAATTCCGGGTTCACTTACTCACTTCAAAAACACTAAGAACTTTTATTAAACTAATACCTACTACTACGGCTATTTATAGTGGGAAACACACTCCGGATCTATCTAGAAAAACAACGAATCGAATAAGTAAAATTCCCAGAAAAGACGTGCTCGCCGTGAACAACGAATTTCCTAGAATCCGGCCGGGAAGGTAATTTCGTGCTCTATTATGTTTCCTCTGCAAGCAATGATGTTTGTGCGTTAGAATCTTAGACGACTTATTGCTTATTTCCCTATACTCATCAACTCAATGTGAAAAAGTTACAAGTATACAAGTTACAATTCTTGTCACAACGTTAATTTTATAACAAAACTATTTTTTCCAGAAACTGAAAATCACAATGAACACTCCCGGTCAAGACCTGATGGAACGCCGCACAAACATTTTAAGCTACGACATTCATTTCCCCTTCCAAAACGCCATTCCTAAAATAACCAGAATCGAATATAACCAACGGACGTACTGCACAGGTCCTCCAGAAGAACGTAATACAGGTGCCTATTATGGAAAACGAGCAAAACAATTAAGTGTAATTTGTGTTTCAGTGATTGCTGGTTCTCCGGGTGTGACAAGCCTTTGGTCAGGCCATAACTATTATTTCCGAGCTGCTAGTACAGGACCTTCAATCGTACCCTATGTACCACCTAAATCAGAACTTGACTTATTTGAACCTGATGTTGTACCCGATCAAGAAAGGTTAGTTTTGTAAGGTTCGTTTATTATTATTAACAGGATGGCTTAGGGCCGGTATTATAAAACACTGAACCGATGGTAGAGTTTCAACCTTCGATTGAATCCTATCAATTTGCATGGAGTCAACCGATGGTTGAAATTCAACCATCGGTTCAGTATTTTATAATACCGGCCATTATTTCCAAAGGAAGTTTCACTAACTAGATTAGATTAAATTAGAAAGTGTCAGAACATCCACGTTACATCCTGTTATCGTTCATATTTGTTCAAAACACATTACACCTACTTATTATTGCATTGCTACAGATACCCAATAAACGAGATTTCAACAACCACCGCCAATTATCCAAAAGTTACCACCACCGAACTGTTTCCAGAAATCTCTAGTAAAAATTATGAAGAATTTACTAGTAGTGTGCCAAACAATCAAAAAACCGAATGTGGAGTTTCGAAAAATGTCTTTGTCCCACTTATAGTTGGAGGCAAAGAGTTGAGCGATGGAATGTACCCTTGGTTGGTAGCCATGTTTACTACCAATGGGAATGGTTATGATTATAAGTGTACTGCAAATTTGGTGTCTAATAGACATGTTGTGACTGGTGTGTATAATTCTCAGTATTATTAATAACAGATCTTTTCTTTGGCTAGCATTTACTAAGTTTTAGTATTTATTCATTAGGGTCAAAGCAATCTTGTTAGTATTGATTTTTTAGCTGCTAGATGTACGAACTTTTTCAAAATCCAAGTAGTCCAAACCGATGATATTCTATTCGTTTTCGGACGAACTAATTTAAAGCATTGGGCTACCAGCGGCGCAGTAACAAGAGGTGCCTCCTTTGTCCGTACAAATCCGGATTTTAATGCTAATTCTGGCCATGGAGACTTATCTGTAAGTGTAGGTAGCTAGATTTTTGTATTTGTATTGTAGCTGTGTTTCTAATCTAAAGGTGATTACTCTGGATAAGCCCGTGGAATTCTCTTCAACAATTGCACCAATATGTCTTTGGGAAGGTGACGATAACATACAGAATATGGTGAACAAGAAAGGAACTGTAGCTGGGTGGGGTGCAGATGAAGGTAGATTTTTTTTTTATATATGTTTATGATTTTATTTAACACGTTTTCATGGTTTCAGTTGCCCAAAAAACTGGAAAATACAGTATATCAGTTGCCAAATCTGTAGATATGCCTATAGTAGCACAAGAGAGCTGCTTGTTTTCCAATTTATCCTATTTTCAGTTAACGTCAGATGTTACTTTTTGTGCTGGTAAGCAATTTTTAATTAAATTTGTTTAGTAAGTGGATTCGCCACTGTCAGACTCAAGAGCAATACAACCAAATGGCAATATATTTTTACGGATATACATTTAGGAGTAAGGGCATTTGGAACAATCGAAGCATAATTATTCCATTTCTGGAAAAATAGACTTTATGTGGTTTCGGTATATCTTGTGTTGTCTAATGGTTTCATTTTTCTTGAATGTTCTTCTGAATATACTGTAGTAATCCACCCAAGTACTCTATTAATTAGTTAGATGGTAATGTTAATTATTTCCTGGGGTTGCTACAAAATTAAGTGGCGAAGGGGGTCTATTTGCAAATGAGAGAAACAACTGTATAATAGTTTTCATACATATTTTATTAACTAAATCAGCACTATCAATTAGGAGAATTCAGCCTAAGAATTCAGCATAACCTAGGCATACGACAAATAAAAAAAAAAATTATATTAACAAATTCTTACTTTAATGTTCATATTTTCTAACAATCCAGTTATACACCCTCTTATAATCAAAGCTTAGTTAATTATACGCTATTAAATTTTATAACTCGTTCCTCATTTATTGGTTACACATTAAACAAATTCCTTTACTAACACTAACACCTCCTTAATACTAAATCCTTTCATATTAAAACTCTTAATTAAATCCCTGACTTTCCAGTTGCCATTATACTACACTCCCAACTTACAAACTAAAATTAGACTGCATAAAGAATTGCTCTTTATTTAATAGTTCAAGCTCATCAATTCATTAACTCAATTTCTTCAAAAACGATGTAGTAGCAATCCAATATTTGAATTCAAAATTCTATTTTTGAATTAAAACTCTTTTGGAAAATTCCACTTCAAATAAATTGGCACTAGTCATGCTCATTATATTTTCCTAATTAATAGTTATTTACATTACAAGTGCGTTTATGAACATGATTACATTAACGAGTGTGAAAGATTAGAACGACGAGGTCGTAGACCGAGTCGTTCTAATCACACGAGTTTTGTAGTCATCTTTAAACGCACGTGTGATGTACAACTTTTTATCTACAAAGCGAAAAATAAGAATTTTTTTTCAATTATTTTCGTTTATTAGTCGTTGTATACCTTCATTTTACCTTCACAGGTTTACCTTTGACATTTGTCAAATAGCCAAAAATAGTTGTGTTATGAATTCATAGCCTAGTAAAAACGTCATAACCAAACGCTTATAGATAAATATTTTTAAACAATATAAAAATGTCATTTGATTCAAAAATTGACAATAAAGCCTTCAGTAAAGTTCCTTAGAAAGTGCACTTAAAATTAAGTTCCAATTTTCTTATAATAAATTCACTTCAAATTGTTGTCGAGAGTTAAGTTCATTCTATTTTACTGATTAAACATTTTTATTAAATTAAATTCAAAAGTCAAATTCACTCAAAAATCAAATAAAACAAGTTCAAAATTCTTCTAGTAATTACACTTCAAATTGTTAGCAATAGTCAAGTTCATTCTATTTTGACAATTAAACCCTTTTTTATCAAAATAAATTCAAATGTCATTTCACTCGGAATATCAAATAAATTTTCAGTAAAGTTCCTTAGACTCTCTTGAAATAGATAATTACTAAAGTCTCAAATTTCTACATGTAGGTACTTACAACCTGTCCTTAAATTCACAAACGATCAAAATTACTTTTAGTTACTTAGCACGCACAAACAAAAGAAAACTTGATACTACTTTATGACTCTTACTGGACAATAGTCAATTGCAAACTTTGTTATAAAAATAAATAATAAATAAATACCTAAATAAATTTGGTGGAGACTCACTGCGAATTCTCTTGATTCTTAAAATCTTACTATCAAATCAACTGCTGGATTTTATCTCTTTTCTGATTGTAACCTGTTTAAATAGTACTCAATTCCCACCAAAATTCTGTTACGTGGGCGGTCATTTAGCATTTCTCGAACCAATCATCTTATTTGACCTCGTTTATTGAGTGATAAACGACATTGTTGTTTTCCAAGAATTGTTTTTACTTAGGAAATGATGCAACATCCGGCGGAAACACCGGTGTTGTAGTTTATCAATTATGACGCAATTAAATCACATGAGTATAGTGATTTCCGGTTAAATGCGTCCTAATTTTATAATCTTTTATTGACTTTTTTTTTTCTTGTTATCGGAATGTCGCAAGAGTCTATTAATTGGGGACATCGAACTCTGACATCCGGTCGCTTATCGCTTGCGTTGGTAAAAAAAATTGTTATGTAATTTGAGTTGAGCTTAGAAATTTCGTCATTTTTTATTTATACTATTTTTATACGGAATTTGATGCTGGATTGCTAGGAGACTTAATAAGTTGAGATTAAATTATCTTGCAACTGACGTTGGTACTTTTCTAATTAAAATGACTACAAAAATGCTTTGATCAATTAATCAATATATTTTCTGAGATTTTAGCACCTCGAAATTTTTGGGGTCGCCATATCCCTCCCTTCATAAGAAAAAATTTATATTGCACAAGATAAATTTTTATGGACAACACGGTTCTCGTGCCCATTTAAAAGTATTAAGTTTCACCCTCTCGTGTACCCGGTCGACCTTAGAGAAAAAAAAATACTAGGTTTTGTGCGTGCTGAGCGAGCGTACTTGACAAATATTAATACAACATCAAAAAAAAAAGATATTACATCTAGGTTTCTTTACTTGTGAGGCGTGCTACTTTATTTATTACGCTGTGGCTGGGTAGGATAGCACCAACCTTGACGAGGACATCTTTTAATCCGAATCCTGGCTGGTACGTCGGATTCTCAACCGTTGTGGTTCGTCCTGGGCTTGGAAGGGCGTCGCTGGTGGCATGCGACGTCTATTAAGGGGAGCCAGTTCAGGAGGCGGTACAAAAGGTGGACCTCCCAGGTTCCATGGGGACTTTAGTTCTGTCGGGGCTAGTGGGCTGCTGGACCATTTCAGCGGGGTACTCTGGGGTACCTCGTTAGGGGGTGCCAGTGAAAACGTCCCTGCCCTTGTCTCTTCCATTACCTGGCTGGTTGAGGGTCTCGGTTCGGCATGAACGATTGGGCGGAGTTCTGCATATACCGGCTGAGGCGGGCTCTCATAGTATAGCCAGTGAACCTCGGGTAGCAGTACTCAAGATTTTGAACGTAGTTGTCAGGGGATTCAATTCCCTGGGGTTGGAAAAAATGGGGAACTTCTTGCGGGGGAGCCGGTCGGTGGCGAGATTCTCCGCGGCACAGTTCACACCAGCAAATTCTGCTGGCGCGGATTCCTTGGAGATTTCGCTCCTCCAATTCAATCATCTCGGCCCACAACTGGAGTATCGCCCGGGTTCCATAATTATGGGGAGACAGATAATCTGGGTTCCCCAGATTTAATTGAACTTGCCGCACTACCTCTCTTGCCATATTCAGCAGACAGGCTCGTTCCTCTAGGTCTGGTATCAGAGCTAGGTATTTGAAAAAAATTGACATTCCTTGCTCCATTTCGTTGAAGTATGTTCACTGTCACTTGTTTTTCACGCACTTCTTACGAAGCTTTCTCTCGGACTGTCGCTTCATCAGGGGTAACAGGCTCTTTTTATTTTCCTGGTGCTATCTGTAGTCAGTAAATCTTTTCATTACTTCTAACCCTTGGCACTAAGTTAGTAATAATCCATTAGGCTCTTCCTTCTATCTGTGCCTGTACAGGGTAATTTTTTATATTTTCCCACCCCCTTAACTTTTTTGTGCCACCGTGTATAAAAAAAATGTAGATAGGAAAGTTGTAGTGCTTGAAAAATAGTTCTCAGAAAACATAGTTTTGTTCATACAAGGTGTTGCAAAAATTTTGAAAAACAAAATAAATATAATATTTAAATGGGACACCCTGTATATTATGACATTTCTGGATTCTGCGGAAAATTCCAGACATATTTCATGTATAATGTCATATACCTATCATCAACTGTTTTGGAAATAATGACAGTAGAAAATTGACTTTTTTGCATCTTTGACAGACTGTAAAACCTAAACGGTTGAATTTACAGCAAAACCGATCATACATGCTTTTTCTATTTTTTTACAAAATATCATTTGACTCATTTGACACCAACTTTGAATTTAATCCATGATTGAAAATTCCAATTAAATTTAATCTCCGGTTAAATTCAAAGTTGGTGTCAAATGCTAGCTTATGAAAAGCTGTAGAATCAGTTTTGCTGTATAATTGACAGTTTAGGTTTTACAGCCTATCAAAGTTGCAAAAAAATCAATTTTCTACTGTCATTATTTCCGAAATAGTTCAAGATAGGTATATGACATTATACATGAAATATGTCTAGAATTTTACGCAGAATCCAGAAATGTCATAATATACAGGGTGTCCCATTTAGAAAAATATTTTTTTTTGTTTTTCAAACTTTTTGCAACACCTTCTATGAACAAAACTATGTTTTCTGAGAACTATTTTTCAAGCACTACAACTTTCTTATTTACATTTTTTTCATTCACGGTGACACAAAAAAGTTAAGGGGGGTGGGATAATATAAAAAATGACCCGTACAATCAAATTTATTAGACCTTTTTCTATCTGATACTCATAATTTTTGTTCTTTATGTCCTCTCGGCTATTGGTTGGTCGCAAGGTTGCCTCTCCTTATTCCATTCAGGTTTATAATTTCTAATTTATTTATATCCTCTTATCCTAATTTAACGCTAGTCTACCAATCTTCTTCAATAACCCCTTTTGATAACCCCCGTTTCTTATTAGATTATTCGTTCAAATTATGTGTAAGCTTTTCCTGCCCTAACTTCTCATTTCTTAAAATATCTATTATATTTTTTAATTTTACAAAAAAAACAAAAATAAAACCTACGAAATTAAAGTTTTCCCGTGTGATTTCGCAAGTTCATTCACAATAATAACTATTAAAGATTAATTATTTTTACTCAACACTAGAGTATTTTTTTTATACATTTAGTTTCTTAATTACGGCCAGGGCCGATCCTAGG